TCTAAGTCGATGCGAACAGGTCCGAGACGGGCTCGGGAGTTTTAGTTTTTCCACGTTCCAGGGAGAAATGCGTTTACAGATCTTGAACTTTTGATTTCTTTCAACAAGTGAATAGTACAGAAACACAGTGGTTTTGAGAGATATTTTTCCAGTGGTTATGATTATGTATAATAAATAAAGTCGTTGAACATAGCTGGTGAGTTGGATAAATTGAACCCACCCATCAAAAGATGTTTGTTTTATCAAACTGTGTCTGAAACTATAAGTGCGATTTTGACAAACTTTTAGGAGATGCTGATCGTGTGAAGGTAAAGTGACGAAATTTTTTGTTTAGCTTCACTGTGCATGATTTGTGAGATGTCGCCACAACAGTGACGAAAATGAGCTGTTCGTAGCTTCCAGATTTTTCAGTAACTAAACATTGTGGAGAGCTCTGGCTGATCTTAAATTGACGAAAACACATGTGGCTAGAGGCTAATAGAGCCGGATTTTTGATATTTTTCTGTTCAAATTAATGGTCAGCGTCAAAAGTCCAAAATTCGAAAATACAAGTTACTCTGCCAAAGGTGTTTTTCTAATCATACATCTAGACTGAACATCAAAAATCGGGCTGTATTATCCTCTAGCCATATGTGTCAGCTTCAATTTAAGACCTTCCAGAGCTCTCTGCGATGTTCCATTATCGATAAATCTTGGAGCTACGAATGGTGTTAATTTGAAAGTCGCTTTCAAGTTATGGTGGCCCGAGTATCTGATGCATGTTTTACGGCTTCCAGCAAAACTCTCATAACTCCTGGTTAGAACATCACTCAGAGCTAGAAAATATCTCATTTTAATCAGAAATATTTGCTCTATTTTCCAATGTAGTGAAAGTAGTTTTATTGCACGTAAAGTCGTTAAAATTTCTTGCATTTACATGAATTCAGAAATTTTAATACGTTAAAATGTATTAAAAAGCTGAACACATTCGAACGCCTTAAAATCTAATGTCTTCAAATGCATTTGAACACATTAAAACCTGTCAAAGCCTTAAAAGTCTTTCAATGCCTTAAAGTTGAGTATGTTCGCAAGAATTAAGAAATTTTAACACGTTAAAGTACCTTAAAAGGGTTTTGACGCGTTGAAGAGTATTGAGTTTATCAGGTGTTAAAATCAGAAATTAACGAGTCGATTAACGCATATGAGTTTATTAATATTTCAGAGATGCGCGATTACAATTACAAACTGTAAAGTTGAAACACAGCTATTACTCCTAGATTTCAGAGTTTTAGAATTCTGAGCTTTACATGCTCAAAATTCTAAAATTCTAGGGGTGAGGATGAGTGTAAATGTGCAACTTTACATGTATGTAAGAATTCTGAACATGTTACTTGAATTTTACATGTATGTAAAGTTCAAAATTCTAAGATTCTGAATTCTAGAAATAATAGCAATCTTTGAACTTTACATTTTGCAATTGTAATCGCGTAGCCCTCGTCGGATGCAAACGTTTTTGCTCTGATGACAGATATTTTCACTCAAATTTTTTCACAAGGTCATTCGTGCTCTTTCTTTCAGTCGTCTTTTGGCCTCTTGCTTTTCGCTGCTCAAAGGGATTTTCTAGATGGGTAAAAACCGAAGTATCATCGCTTCTCGTGCCACTCATTTTCGTGATAAGAGAAAATCAAAACCGGCAATGCCTGTAGAAGTTCAGATCGAAAATATTATGAGAAAAGCTCAATGCCGAATGACTGTTACCCGACATGGAAAAGTCACAAAAATTGTTGAACCAAAAAGAAAGGCAAAGATCACCTGTTTGGAATCACGTAATACTTTTTGATATGTTTTTTGCTTTCATTCTATTATGTCTATCTCTGGTTTACTTTAGCTGAGATGAATGACGAACAGCTACCAATGATTGTTGATCGAATGCAGATAACAGATGGTCAGATCAGTGACGCAGAAGAAAACGACACTATTGATATCTCAAGTAAGTCAAGGTTAAAAAGATGCTTGTTAGTCTTACAGCGATTTTTCAGGTAAAACGGGTGAAGAAAGTTACTGGCATAACGAAGAAAACATGACAGCTGACGTGGCAGATAACGAGCAAGAAATACCAGTTGATGATGAAACAGACGACGCCGCGGTATTCTCAATGTTTGATATAGCCAATATTTTGGCAATATTTAAGTTAAAAGAGAATGTATCACGTTCTGGCATGGATAGTTTACTAGCATTACTACGTATTTTACGTGTGAAAAATGTCCCGAAAAATTACGTGACACTTACAAGATTGTTGATGAATGAACATCTTTTATCAGAAGGAACACATTGTTCGTTCTGTCCAACATGCGGAAAAGTATCTCGTGCACAGGCTTGTATGGATAAAAAATGTACAGGTTCGGGTAAAGATGGTATCGTGGCTGATGTCAAATTCATTGAACATAATATTAAACTTCAAATTCAACAAATACTTGAGCGAGAAACATCATTGAATCTCCGTACATCGTCTACTACACCAATAACCATTATTCATGACATTCATGATGGACAAAAATATCAACAAATACTCAAAAATGAAACGGGTCAATTTATTACACTCACAATGAATTCAGACGGTATTGAAATACAAAGTGCGAAAAATACCTCAGTGTGGCTATTAACATTTGTGATAAACGAAATTGGTCGTTCAAAACGTTTTCATCTTTCCAATTCTATAATCGGCGGTATTTGGCCAACGAGTTCAAAACCGTCAAAAGCACAAATGCAGGAAATAATGAAATTGATCGTTGATCAGTTATTGAAATTGGAGAAAGAACAAATTTACATCATACGTGTCGAGAATAGACTAGAAGAAATTTGTTTAAAAACATTTTTATTGTGTACATCTGCCGATAAACCTGCTGTGACACTTATTCAAAACACCAACGAATCACATGGGTACTACGGTTGTTTTCGTTGTGTTCAGAAGGGTAAAACAAGAAGAAAGGAAACTCAGCAGAGAAATCTCCACACTAAAACGTTTTTTAAATTTTTTAGGAAAAAATATTTCATCAAATCCTGGTATTGAGGGAAAAAAAGGTTCTGTAAGAGTTTATCCAGCCTGGTCCGATAATGTCGATCCACCAGAATTGAGAACAAATGAACAATACGACAAATTTATTCAGTGGTTTAAAACAGTTGATATTCGAACAATTCGAACCAGAAACGAGAAGGAAAAATTTCGAGATGATAAAATGGGTTACAATGGAATTTGTCATTTGAGAAAATTAAAATGGTATGATGTGGGTACTTCAATATCATTTGATAGTTTACACACATTCTATGGTGGCGTTGCTGTGAGTATTTTATACTATCTCTTCCTGTTTCTTTGTTAGGGTGGGGGGAGGAAGCGTTAATTTAGAAATAAAAGTGTAAGCTACTAGAGTAATGCTAATTAGCACTACTCAGAACCAATTAATTATAAATTAATACCATAAAAAAATTTTTTTTAATTGTTTTCATGAAACTATAACTATAGATCATTAGCTACCAAACTACGCTAAAACGATGTTTCTACGGCTTTTTTTGATTGAGCTGTAAGCTTTTTAAAAAAAAAAAAAGCCTAGCAACTAAATTTTTTACTAAAATTTTATGTTAATTAATTTATAACTCCATGAATACTTATCGGCTCTCCGAAAACAGTTCAGGTATACGCAATCAAGTGTTTTCTACAATCTGAGAAGATTTAACAGTACTTTTTGTGGGCGTCTGTAAATTGTGTAGGACTGAGTATCGCCTAAGGCAAAATCCAGTATATATCCGCCTCTTTTAGAGACGTAAAATTGATCTCATCTTATCGTATAAACATCGTGAAGCTGATTATTCATGTTACGACCAAACTGATGAGTTAACAAAAAAATTTGATTCACTCAAATATCCGTATACGACGTATCGTCTACCGAGAAGTTTAAAATATTTCGGCAAATTTAAATCAAATGAAATACGAATGTTGATCTTATTCGGTTATGTCGCATTTTTCGGTATATTAAAAGAGCCGTATTTCAGTCATTTTATGAAACTCGTTACAATTGCCCATTTAGCCGAAAGTCGCCATTTGACACAAGAAAATATTCGATACGTTGATACACTGGTTGAATTGTATGTGACAGAATTTGAATCATTGTACGGTGAAAGAAACTTGGTGTCAAATGTACATTCACTTTATCATATCCCAGCTACATTAAGTGATTTTGGTCAATTTATGAATTACTCTACATTCAACTTCGAATCTCTCATCGGTAAGAAGGAAAACTAACAGCTGAAAGGTCACAAAAAGAGGCAGAGAAACTTGTTTCAGGTACGATAACGGGTACGGTGAATGGGCGACGTTCGTTCGCAGAAGAAATATCAAATAATCTTAATCTCATTCGTCTCATCAGTCTGAACATTGTTAACAAGAAAGTACACCCATCATTAGATTATCAATTATCAAAAATGGCTAATTTAAAACCCTATCGTATCAATCAATCGTCCACTGTCCACATTGAACAGAATGAGATAACAGTGAAAAAACCAATATACATTGAATATGTTGATAATTGTGATATTCGACAACGATTTAATTTGAATGAAAACGACTTGATTGAGTATTTTTCAACGTTATATATAAAAGATGTTCGATTTACTATTGATACTCTACTCGAACAGAAAAATAAAACCGATT